GACCTGATATGAATGAGAATCTGTACGATTAAAGAGGAACCGGAATATGTCAATGCTTCAATAACTGGATTCTTATTCAAGCAATATTGATAGTGTCGAAAACTACTTACATCCAAATTAAGTAGTGTCGTCGATTGCAATGGCAATCCAACTATTTTTACAAGTGCGTGGTAACATCGCCACCGTACGGCCCTGTATGAAACCGTTAAGGGTGCTTGGGAGAAATCCACCGTCGAGAAATTCAACTATCCGTCCTAGATCGACGTTAAACGACGTAGAGTGACTAATCAAAGATGGTGCGGCACCCGGTATGGTGTCAGTCTGCGGTTAATTTATAAAAACGGGTTGGCCTCGTTGTCAACACTTGGTCTTGTTGTCAAGGCGACTTGGTAGAACGCATCTTGTCCGAATTCCTCTGCCCTAATATTTATTATAATTGTCAGCATCAGACCGTCGACCGGCATCGTAGTGGCATCATTAGTGGGTGATACCATTCTCCGAACCGAGATACGAACTCGTCATAGAGACAAGTGAAATCAATCCTGTCATTGTCTATCTATCTACTCTTTACCCTCTTGTCCATCTCCCGACCTATCACAACTTCTGACATGTTTACATTCCATTCGTGAAAATGTGTGCCTTCTTTTGGCAAATATAATATGGCCTCATCACACCTGCTATTCACATCTCTTTCGATCCTAGCCGGATCTCCCACATCGTTCCGTAGATCCGTTCCTCATCTTCATGGTTAACCGGTTTCATTCGGTTCCAGTCCAAATTGCGGACTGGATCGTCTCCTTCATTAAACCCATGTCATCTGAGCAAACTGTGGACGCCTATCTCCGGTCGCATGTGGCATCTCAAGTGGATTTCTGGTACTATTTTGACCATAATGATGAATTTATGTGATCTTTGCCCCCACCTCCCTGACTGCCAGGCCCCCAAAGTTGTACCGTTTTGAGCAGGATCGATTTCACTTGTCTCTTTGACGAGTTCGTTTCTTAGTTCGGAGAATGGTATCACTCACTGACGATCTCACCACGATGATGATGAGAATTAGGATAAAGGACTTGGGATAATGTGCGTTCTATTAAGTCGCCCTGACAACCAGGCCACGTTGCGGCGAGGTCAACCCACTTCTAGAGTGACTAAGCTCTAGGTTACAATAAAAACAACTTAGCTTTTAATCAGGATTGAGGCTGTACTGCAATCATTATTATGATAGCATATTTTGCCATCATAAGTAGCACATTTGTGGTGAATACTTCAAAAATTTAATTTATTAGTCATACTTATATCGTTATATATAATTAAGTAGTATGGTGTCTATTTACGATAGCAAAATTGGTCATATGATGTGTGTATGATGTCAGCCAGTCACCTTAATAAACTTAATGTTTAGATGAATATTCCTAACTGATTACTATTTGAGGTGAGGTGATTTCATGACATGAGCATGAGCTCATAATTGGTTTAAATCGCCCTAAAAACAAATACACTATTTACGAGAATGTTGTAATTTTGTTGGTTTGACTAAAAGCGTACCAAACAAACCAATTCAACTCAAAAACCCCAACACAATAAAGTCCAAAATCCTCGGTTTTTGTTTAATCTATTCGGATTTGTGGTGAGATGATTTCATGATATTAGCGCAAGATCGTAATTGGTTTAAATCACCATTAAAAAATCACAATGTTTAATATAATTATAATTTGTAAGCAAACAACCGCATAATTGGATACATGTAAATTGTTGTGTAATAACACCTACTACCTTACGCGTAATTTTGTTGGTTTGCCTAAAAGCGTACCAGACAACCCAATTCAGTTTAACTAAAAAACTCTAACCCAAGAATGTCCAAAAGCCTCGGTTTTTGTATAATCTGTTCGGGTTTGAGGTGAGATGATTTCATGACATGAGTATGAGCTCATAATTGGTTTAAATCGCCCTAAAAACAAACACACTATTTACGAGAATGTTGTAATTTTGTTGGTTTGCATGAAAGCGTACCAAACAACCCGATTCAGTTCAATTAAAAACCGCCAACCCCAAAAAGTGCAAAAAACTCAAAGCCAATCAGGTACTCCTCGAAATCGCAGCACAATGCACCAACGAATTCTTCTCATAAATCCACTCTCCCAACGGCTCAACTAAACTCTTGATTATTTCCGCTCAAGTTCTTATTTACAAACAACTTCCATCCGTTTTTTTCAATAACATTAAATGTTTAACAACATGAAATTTGAAATTCCAGTTTTACCTACCGCTGGTAATCTTCACGGCAGAATATGCGGTCGCTTCGTGCATAGCAAGTCGTTTCCGCGTCCAATTGTCTTCGACAGGCATGGCAGACGAGGCATCCAACATGCCAGCTTCTGCCGTCCGAGAGGCGCAGTCTCGCTGGCTCGGATATTGCGCCATGGCAACCAGCACATCGCGTTCGTGTCGTGCAGCCGTCCCAAGTAGGCTGGGGCGATTTGATGGCAGACCGTCCCATCGGCTCGACTGGTACCTGCCGCGGAAGAAGTGAAGTTGGTGCCGAACAGGAAGCTGGAAATCGCGATAACTCGATTGTGCCGGTCGGACCAACTGAAGACACGATTGTTCTGTCCTCCAGACGAGTGGCTAGGCTGAATGGGCCAAAATTTTGGGCAAAACCTGTCGGGATGGCGGAAACACAGCAGACAATGGGAGATGATGATTGGCGGAGAAAAGAGGAATGGGCAGAGAGGGGGTTGGGGATGAAGAGTTGTTGAGGCACGGTAGAAGCCAGAAAAGTCTGGAATGCGACATGTGTTGGCATGGGTGTGTTTTTGCGTTTTTGTATGTGCGTTTGTGTATTTGTAGGTGTGCAAATTTAGTCAATTTATCTTTTTTTTGTTGACACTTACTCTGGTTTAGTCAAATGGGTCATGGCTTTAAGATGCTGTGGCCATCTTAGATCTTGTTTGTACCATTGGCTGGGCATATTCCCAAACGTTTCGCTAGCATCGTCAGTGTGAGGCGCCATAGTTACAGAGTTGCAAATGATCACTTGACACTTTTATACGTTGTAACTATGCACTTACTATAGCACTTGTCACTAATAATGCCGGTCAATGTTGCGATGCTGGAAATCACGAATACGATGGCATAGGACACGGGACTAGGTACCATGCACGTTGCGAAAACAAGGTCGAAACAAAACACTAAAACAGACGAGCTTAGTCATTGTATGTGAATTCAGGAGTGATCATAATGTTATCAGTCGTTTCAACATGTACTCACGTCGAAAACGAAAGCATAAATATGAGATGTATTCAACCAATTTCATCTGAGGTGATGAAGGACTGGTAGTAGAATTTTGCCACAATGATATGAGTCGAGCTGACGCTTTCCTAAAAGTTGTTCACATCCAGAAAAAGGCTATGTGAAATGGAAGGGAAACGGCAACTCAACTCATATCATTGCGAAATTTGCATTCAGGCATTTTTCTCTTTTTCTAATCAAACAAATATTTACG